AAAATGCTAAATTGCGTGGAACAACAGGTATAAAGTGGAAGTTTCTTAGAAAAAAACAGGTGTGTGGTCAACCTATTAGTTATACCCCAGCCTTGCCAGATTATCACCCAAATTCCACTTGAAAATATGTGTTGTTTGACAAAAAGCCTTGTGCCATAGCTAGCTCTAATAATAAAAAAGTTTTTTTACTAAGCCAAAATTCGTCTTATTGCAACTATTAGTTCTTATTCCCAGTTCTGGTCTCCGATAATAAATGCATGATATAGTGGTATAAAAAATACATTAGCTCTTTAGAGAACCTTTTTTGTAACAACTTTAAAAATGGCTTATTAATTTTTTTAAACAAAAGCTTACAGCTATCTCCTTGTAGTTGCAATTTGTGCCCAAATTAAAACAAAAAATAAACAAGAAGGTAAGAAAAAGGTCATATTGTTGGACAAGCCACCAGACTCTGCTTCTGGGCACTGCCTGCCAGACAGCACTTGATAGCACATCCACACATTCTCATCTTGGTACTTTGAGAAAACAATCAATGAGGTCTCTAACTTCTCAAAAGCAAAGCTTCCAGTTATTAAATTAATATTTTATCATCTTAAGTTAGAATGAAGGGTTATATTATAGGAGACATGCCAATAAAAGTAAAAGAAACAATAATTTATACACTGAAAGGTTGTACTTCAGCTAGAGTTAATCATAATGCTTATAGTTTTCTTATCTTTAAAAACTATTCGTTATTTATAAGAGTAAAGACTAGCTACAGATATGACAAGGTATCATCTTGTCATTTTTTGTCCTTTGGGCAAAAAAATTGTGGTTCATTTAGTATGCAACTTGTCACCACCCTGGTTGTTATGTTAAATACATATTTTAGTTTTCATGTGCTATATTGCCCACATTTTTTCCTGGAGTTTCATTAGTAGGAACAGCTGGAACGATGGCTTTTGACATGATGAAGGAATAGGGTCACAGAGGCTAATTCATCACTCTGTACAAGCAGATCCTCTCCTCTCACCTCTTTTTTTTTCTGTTTAGGTGATTGTTACATAATGTAAAATAGAACGATTAGATAATACGATTAAGGGAAATTATTCTCAAATAGTATTGTCTAATTTGATAAATGTGGTTTGATTTGAACCCTTGCGATGGATTTATTCAAAAGGCGAAGTTGGTTAACTTACAGAGGCAATTTTATTACTTGTAGAGATGTTAAAATTACAATATTGCATAGCAGTGTTCATTGTATATCATAATCTTGTACAAGTAAAACTATAGGTGTTAGGTAGGGCAGTTGAAATAAACTCAAGTATGTTTACAGATTCCAAAGTTTTACTTCAGAACTCATATGTAAAAGTGTTTGTAGTTATTCTTTTCTTTGTAGTTATCTAAGTACATTTTAACAGGTTTTTAAAATGAGCTGGTCATTCTTGGAAGCACATTTGCACATTTATGTATTTGATACGGTCCTGAGTGTTCATGTAGGAACTGGAGGAGAGCTGTTTGTCATATAAAATTTTTTCTTTAATGAAGTTCATTTTATCTACATTTTCAGTTTTAGTAGGAGATGTGGAAAAATGGTTTTCTCTTTCTTCTGACACCTTCATTATTAATTATTTGGTATTACCAAGTAAATATCTGTACTTTACTTTTTATTTGCCTTACCTTGCTCATCTATCATTTTTGCACTTAAAATATCATCAGCTAAAGATTGAGGAATTCTCCAGGGCACTATGTGAGGAAAAAATATGGGAAATGCTTTGTAATGCCAGGTGCAAAGGGTTGCTGTCAAGAGAGTAGTCATTTAGTGCCTGTTTGGAGAAGTGCTGCAAGCAAATGCAGAGCTCATAAAACTCACAGGCATGAAGTTCAGTGATGACTGTTGGGTCACAGAATTCAATTTCTGTGAATTGATTTTATTATATAATCCTTAGTGTTATGACATGTGGAAAGAGTTATCTTGGTAACTTGATAATAACTTTAGGTATCTTTTTGAGTTTTTAAAGTTATAATACATTTATTAACTTACACAAAATGTTTTGCTGGTGTGATCACTTACCAAGACATATGGAAGCAGCACTGCAGTAAGGTGACCTCTTGTTTCACTTTGCATGTATATTTTTTTATTCTTTAGAGGCAAGTGAGTGACTACTGATTGAATTGTTAGAGAGTAACACATACTTTCTGTTTTGAGTTCATGAAATTAAATGTACTAAATAAAAAGGAAGAAGGAGACACTAGTATTTACTAAATGCCTTCTGTAGGTTAGTTAAGTTAGATGCTTTCCAAGTACTATTTTACAACCCTATGAGGATTTTTGACTGCATTCAGAACTTATAGGTGAACAGTGAAGCATGGAGAAGATAAATTTATCCAAACTCCTAAAAGAGCAAGAGTTTGCATGTTGTTCTTTCAAAATTCCAAAATTCTTGTTCATTTTGCTACATTACAACATTCAGATTTGTATGCATACTGGCTCTGTGACAAAATTTATTTGGGGGATTATTTGTGACATTAAATTTCTTAAAGTAACAAGAATAAATTAAGATGTGAAAATTAAATAAAAATGGAAACTGGTAGTTTATTTTCAAACTGAGATGCTAGTTTTAAAAGTAGCAAAACACCCTATTCAATAAATGGTGCCGGGAAAACTGGCTAACCATAGGCAGAAGAATGAAACTGGATCCCTATCCCTCACTATGTACAAAAACTAACTCAAGATGGATTAAAGACTTAAATGTAAGACCTCAAACTATAAAAATTATAAGAAAACCTAGGAAATGCCCTTCTGGACATGGGTCTAGCAATGAATTTATGACTAAGTCTTCAAAAGCAAATACAGCAAAAACAAATATTGGCAAATGGGACCTAATTAAAGAGTTTCTGCACAGCAAAAGAAGCTATCAACAGAGTAAACAGAAAACCAACAGAATAGGAGAAAATATTTGCAAACGGTACATCCAACAAAGGGCTAATATACAGAATCTATAAGGAACTTAAACAAATTGACAGGAAAAAAACAAATATCTCCATTAAAAAATGGGCAAAGGACATGAACATTTTTCTAAAGAAGACATGCAAGCAGCCAAAAAATATATGAAAAAATGCTCAGCATTACTAATCATCAGATAAATGTAAATCAAAACCACAGCAAGAAATCATTCAGAATAACTTTTATTAAAAAGTCAAAAAACAATGGATGCTGGTGAGGTTGCAGAGAAAAGGGAACACTTATACACTGTTGTTGAGAATGCAAGCTAGTTCAAGTACAGCCCCTGTGGAAAGCAGTTTGGAGACTTCGCAAAGAGCTACAAATAGAATTACCACTTGACCCAGCAATCTCATTACTGGGTATATATCCAAAGGAACATAAATTGTTTTTCTGAAAAGATACCCGAGCTCATATGTTTATTGAAACATTGTTCACAATAGCAAAACCATGGAATCAACCTATATGCCCATCAGTAGTGGACTGGATAAAGAAAATGTGGTACCTATACACCAGAGAAGCCATAAAAAAGAATGAAATTATGTTCTTTGCAGCAACATAGATGCAACTGGAGGTCATTGTCCTAAGCAAATTAACCCAGAAGCAGAAAACCAGTACCACATGTTCTCACTAATAAGTGAGAGCCAAACATTGGGTACACATGGACATGAAGGTGAGAACAGACACTCAGGGACTCTTAAAGGAAGAAACTACCTATTTGGTGTACCATACTCACTATTTGGGTGATGGATTCAATAGAAACCTAAACCACACAATATATACCCATGTAACAAACCTGCTCCTATACCCCCGAATTCAAAAGAAAAAAATTATAATAAGGCCTCTATTTCAAATATATTTAAGGATCAATTATAATACCTTCTTGATGAGTCACTTTTTACAGTTTTGTTGCCATTGGCTCATATCATGTTACTGGGTCTTCTTTTTTTTTTTTTCTCCCCAAGTTAGTATCTTACTCTGTCACCCAGACAAAAGTACAAGTAGCACGACTATAGTTCACTGTAACCTCGAACTCTTGGTCTCAAGAGATCCTACTGTCTTGGCCTCCCAAGTAGCTAGGCCACACCCAGCTAATTAAAAATTTTTTTTTGTAGCGTGTTGCCCAGGCTGGCCTAAACTCCTGGCCTCAAGTGATCCTCCTTTCTTGGTACCCAAAATGCCGTGATTATAGGCATGAGCCACTGCACTTGGCCTTTTATCATATTCCTCTGCCTACATATAGTTATTACCAATTCTTAAAGAGTGACTGTTTCAAATGTTGCTATAAATGAAGTAAAGAATGTGTAGCCATACTCTTCGTAGCCACTGTGATGTTTGGCAAGTTACTTCAAGTCTCTGTACTTCCTAGGTTGTTTTATTTTTACTTTATTTTATATTTTTTATGTATACTATATTTTATTTCTATTTTATTTTGTTGGAGATAATAACAGTCTGTACCTTGTAGGTTTGTTGTAAGGGTAAACGAGTTAAATGATTACAAATCTTAATATATTAGCATTTAGTGAATGTAATGAAGAACATTTTCTAGATTTTTTTATACACATTGACTCATTTTGCTTTGTAATTTTTTATACTTAGGAAAACCTATGTAGAATACTACACATTTTAAGAATGTTTATAAATTTTTATTGTTTCATTGGGTCAGTTTTCATTTCCAGTTATTCTAGATTCAAATATAGTAAATCTGGTGTTGTGGGTATGATATTAGGATTTTTGCTTTTCTCTGTAGTATGTAGTAACTGATACGTGGTAAACCCTTGATATCTGTTGTAGGATTACATGAGTTTGAATTTGAACTTCATTTTTATTGTAAAAAAACTATCAAAATTCTAAACTTATTAATGACTGATATGTTCTTTTACAATTTTGTTCTTTTTAAAAAGCCATTTTATTTTGTGTTTGGCTGAAAAGTGATCCTTTGAGACAATCTTTTAAAATTAGCTTAAATTGTTTTAAAAGGGTAGTATTACAGTAAGTTTGTCTTTTGTTCTCTTAGCTTCACAATGAAGAGGATAATTCAGAATCATCTGCTATAGAGCAGCCATCCACTTCAAACCCAACACCACAGGTTATGCATCCTGCTCCTTCAACACCAGCACTTGAGACGGACTCTTCTCCTCCACCCTATAGCAGTATTACTGTGGAAGTACCTACAACTTCAGGTATGAAACAGCTAGTAATGTTTTTAATAGTTCAGTTTTTTGGAAAGTATGGTATGGTGTCATTATCCAGTCTGCTAATGGACTTCTAAACATACACACATGCGTATATAGACAGAAATGTATACACATATACATGCATGTGTGTGTGTGTATGTGTAACATACTTAACGTAGTCAAAAAACAAGGTGTTACTACTGAAGAGTGTGAGTGAGAACATGGTGAGTATGTGTGACTGAGGTGAAGAGAATACATAGTGTCATCCCATATGGTAATAATTCTTGAATATAGGGCAGTAATTCTTGTTTGCCACTGTTCATCTTATTCATATCCTCCTAAGACCTAATCTATTTCTCTGGCTGCAATTTTTATTTACCTAGCATGCTCAAGTAGCCGTTTTGATGACTTCTTTTTATACTATTACGATTTTGTGTTTGATTTATATGATTGGTGGAATGTGTATGCTATTATAACTTCTCCAAGTAGTCTAATAACTTTTAAATAACTTGTCTAAATATTTTACATACTCATTATGAATCATTTATCTTAAAAATCAGTTATTGAAAAGCATCAGAAAAAAACCCACTAAAATATTTCATCTTTCTTATTTCTTATTCTGTAATTAACGTCATGTTTCTCTTAAATGCATACCAACTTTCTCTGGTTACAACTTTTTCATTTGGAATGTGTAAATAGACCCAATGTTTCTTCCATCAAATTCATTTACTTTTTTTACTCAGTTGCTGAAAATCATCTTTTTCATGAAAGTATTCACACTAATTATATTAATATATGCTTACCCCTTTTATTTGTATATCATGTTTGATTGATATGCTTGTTCAGTACTCATTTTCATGCACAGTTTTTATATTGATATCCATCAATTTTATTTGTCTTTGGCAGTAAGATTTAATAGTTGGTTTGGTGATTGTTAAATTTATTATATGCTAAATTTTCTTTATTATTTTACAAGTTTCCATAATGTGGGTTACACTTTAAGAACGGAAATGAGTTATTTTCCTGATTTTATCCATGTTTGAGTAATGAAATATGCTCATTTTAAGAGTGAAGTTATGCTTTCCTTGTTATTGCTACCATTGTTATTGCTGTGTAACAAGCAACTCCAAATTTAATGGAATAAAATAGCGACCATTTATTACTATTAATTCTTATGGTTCTGAAGTAGACTGAGCTCAGCTATACTTTTCTCTCCCAGAATCTCATGTGATTGTTGTCTGATAGTGACTGGAGCTAGAATCATCTCGAAGGTTTCCTTTTTTACGTGCTTGGTGCTTGATGCTGGCTTTAGCAAAGTTTTCAGCTGGGGCTATTGGCTAGGACACTTGTATGTGGCCTTTGTTTGTGGCCTAAGCTTGCTCACTGGGGGGTGGGTTTCAAGACCAAGCATTCTGAGAGAAAGCCATTTGGAAGCTTTATCAACTGTTATGATAGTGCCTCAAAAGTCACATGGTATCACCTATGCCATATTTGGTGTGTTGGAAGTGAGTCACTAAGTTTAGTCCTGATTCACGAGGAGAGGAATTAATCTCTACTTCTTGATGAGAAGAGTTTTAAAGAACTTGTAGGCTAACTTTTAAAACTACCATGTGGATTGCCTGATCCCATGGGTTCGAGACCTGGCTGGACAACTTGGTGAGACATCATCTCTACAATAAATCAAAAATTAGCCGGGTGTGGTAGCGTGCGCCTGTAGTTCCAGCTTCTTGGAAGGCTGAGGCAGAAGGATCGCCGGAGCCCAGCAGATTGAGACTGTGGTGGCCAGGAGCGTGCCACTGCACTCCAGTCTGGGTGACAGAGTGAGACTCCAACTCAAAACAAACAAACAAAAACTACCATGAGTACATACTTCCTCTTCCCTTTACTGGCAAAGCTTCTCCTTCTACCCTTCCCCATTTCAAAAAATGGCTTCAATAGGTCAGAAACCTTGGAATCTTTTTGGGACCTGATCATAAAATTACAGTAGTTCCCTGCTTATCCAAGGGGAGATAAGTTCCCATACCTCTAGTCTAGTGGATGTGTGAAATCATGGATAGTACTAAACCCTATATATACTCTATTCTTTTCCTACATAGTATATTCACACTGTGTATATTTATGCATATGTATACACTACGTATGTATGTACATGTGTATACACTGTGTATGTACATATGTGTACACTATGTATACATATGCATATGTACATACATTCCTACATACATACCTATGATAGCGTTTAATGTATATATTAGGCATAGTAAGAGATTATCAATAATAATAATAGAGCAATTAAACAACCTACTATAATAAAAGTAATGGGAATATAGTCTTTTCTCGCTGTCTCAGAATATCTTGTTGTACTTAACTCAGCCTTCTTGTGATGATGTGAGATGATCAAACCCCTACATGATAAGATGAAGTGTGGTGAGTATTGTAGACACTGTGATAGTGTTAGACTACCATTGACCTGACAGTCCATCAGGAGATACGTCTGCTTCAGGTGATCCTAGATCGTCAAGCCATTGACAATGTTGATGGTTGTGGATCCCCAACAGTTGAAGGTTGGTGATAGATTGGATTAGGATAAAGGGGTTAAGAATGGTGCCATGGTGATACTGAAATAGGAGCAGGTTTGGACTGAAGGTCAAAGTGATTGTTAGCCATGTTGAATTTGAGGAGCCTTTAAGGACTAACAAGGAGATTTCAAATAGTGATAGCAAATAGACTCATATCAAATATGAATCTAAATTCCAGAGGAGACGTTTGGACCAGAAATAAGGGTTTGTGAATGTATTGTGCATAGTTGGCAGTTGAATTCTTAATGTACAATGAAATAGCAGGGGGAGCCGGGCTCGGTGGCTCAGCCTGTAATCCCGCGCCTTTGGGAGGCTGAGATGAGTAGATTGCCTGAGCCTGCGGGTTCGAGACCCGC